GTGCCTCAGTGCCTAGTATTGAGTTTGTATATACCTCAGTGCCTAGTATTGAGTTTGTATATACCTCAGTGCCTAGTATTGAGTTTGTATATACCTCAGTGCCTAGTATTGAGTTTGTATATACCTCAGTGCCTAGTATTGAGTTTGTATATACCTCAGTGCCTAGTATTGAGTTTATATGTACCTCAGTGCCTAGTATTGAGTTTGTTTATACCTCAGTGCCTAGTATTGAGTTTGTATATACCTCAGTGCCTAGTATTGAGTTTGTATATACCTCAGTGCCTAGTATTGAGTTTGTATATACCTCAGTGCCTAGTATTGAGTTTGTATATACCTCAGTGCCTATATTGAGTTTGTTTGTATACCTCAGTGCCTAGTATTGAGTTTGTATATACCTCAGTGCCTAGTACTGAGTTTGTATATACCTCAGTGCCTAGTATTGAGTTTGTATGTACCTCAGTGCCTAGTATTGAGTTTGTATATACCTCAGTGCCTAGTATTGAGTTTGTATGTACCTCAATGCCTAGTACTGAGTGTGTATATACCTCAGTGCCTGGTATTGAGTTTGTATATACCTCAGTGCCTAGTATTGAGTGTGTATATATTTCAGTGCCTAGTACTGAATTTGACTGATCCATTCACATTATGGTTTACTACCGGTTTTTGCCATGCGGTAAATGGAATCTGTGTCGTCAGTTGATCATGTGCGTTGATGTCCTATATTCGATGTGGATATTTTTGTTTATCATTGTGTTTTCTTTTAATTTATTAGGTGAAATGTTCCTTTTCTTATATGTATTTTATATTGATTATATCTTTACATGTTATATAGAATATATTAAAAACGAAACAAATACCTCCTCTAAAACCGACTCATTTTATTACTTAAAGGATCTGAAACATAGAGACCTACCTACGTCCTACCATTTGTCGGCCATACTGTTATGGTAATTAGCGTTGAATAAAAAGTGCAAACGCATTAAAACGTATTTACAAACAAATAGAAACTGCTAAAAGTTCGTCCTCCTTCCCCCGACTTCAGAGCGTCATGTAATTACGGTCCGTTTAATACGATTCGGTTTTTTGATACAACTGCTAATTACCATAACCAAAATGGTCGACAAATGGTGTAAAGTTGGTGGGGGTGTTTATGTTTCAGGTCATTCAAATTTCTTGCGGAAAGGTGCGTCAAAGAAAATGCACTCGCCGTATAAACTCGATGTAGTCCTTGGCTGGAATACGGGTTTATTCATATGAAGTATACATAAAGTTGCATTAGTTTTTAATGGTAGATGACTGTACGTACGCAAATTGCTGAAAGTCTAAACATTTTTTTATCAGCGCCGTGACGATCGACTAATGAACGTAAACAATCGATAGGTGGCGCGATTTGGTGAGTGGCTCGTGAGAAATAATGTCATTAGGCTGGTGGCAGCAAATCTGAGGCGCTCATAAAATCTCGAGCATTTACATTACTCACCCATGGTCGTGAATACAGCGCGACCTCACTCAGTTTTGTGGTTGAAACTCTGACCCAGTGCATCTTTTACCTACCTCTACATTCGTGACCAAGTCGTGTTATTCCGGGGACAAGCCGAATAGCGGAGGTTACGGAAAGGGGCGAGTGGTGCACCATCCATATTCCGTAACCCGAATGCCGGAATGACACGAACAGAGGCTTACAGTAAACGGTCAGTGACGTACGTTTCATATTGGACAATTTGACATGAACCTGTAGCCATAGCCAATAAACGTCATCGCCATATACTAAATATAACAGCTTCAGAAGACGTTTGTTGCAGCCACTGTGTTCCTGAGTTATTTTACGGGCCCTTCTGATCAATTCTGATCAATTAAGATCAATTTTGTCCGCCATGAAACCAGCGTTCGAAATAGTCGCCGACCTGGAGGCCCAGCGCAGGTTGTTATTGTATCGGGCCGGCAGTTTCAAATATTTACAGGCCCTTGTGGCCTTCAGTAACTTATCTGTAATCTGTTTCCTCAACTGAAATCTTTCCCATAGTTTCTTTCTGTATTAATGTTCGGGAATCATCCATGATCCATCATGTTACGATAACCTATAGTTTCACTTTCTGGTATTTCAGCGCTTTGCCCATAGGAATGTCAACACCAGTCTTTAACAAAGCAAAACATCCCTCTGTGCCATAGGCTTCGCTAGTTCTTGTTGTAGAAACAGTGTGAAACTGTGTACAGTGTAGCCTATTTTGCTTTTATTGGTTTAACTTTAACCAAATGGGCCTGCAGATTTCATTCAGGGATTTTAAAGCACGGGTTATTTTCATTGTAGATTTTAAAGCCTGCAAGCAGCAGCAGGCCCTGATGGCCAACTGGCAAATTAAAGTATTGCAGCCACTGCATGAAGCAGAGATGTATGTGCCAAAAAAGAACTAAATATCACTTTTCATTTTCTTTTCTTGATCCTATTATCAAATTCGAGGTAAACGTCCTTCGACATCAGATTTGCTGTCGCTTCTCCTTTAATCCCTCCCCTCCCAAGGGTTGGCCCCTTTATAGACCTTAACATCTGGGATAAAAAACACGCGCTTTTCCCTTTGACTTAGACTAAGGCTTAGTCTCTGAATATATATAATTTTGATAGTAACAAACAAGCCCATTTATGTTGAAAAGGAGCCCTAGGGAGACCAGAGATTCTGAACCTGAGGAAATCTAGACTTGCTTTATTTAGGGCTTTAGCACTGCAGAGAGGGCTTGGCAGTAGGGAAATTAATGTGGTTCAGGGACTGTGAGACAGACTACCTTTGACTCTGCTGGTCTGGTTGCTAAACGCATCCAGCGTGTGTCGTACGGTGCAATACCGTTTTCATTCCAAACAAGAGTCGTTGAACCTGTAATAAAGGAATGACGGCTTATGTATTGTTATATACATAATAATGAGAGTAAGCACTGTATGTGGTACCTGATTCCAAAGGCAATGGCCAAACAAGGAGATGGGAAACGCCAGAGATTGACCAGGCTCGAATAACCAGCTGAACCACACCCACTACAGCGGAACTACCTAAACCCCACATGAACCTCCCTCACCCCACAAACCCTTACCGTAACCACACCCACCCCGCCCAACCCACTTGCACTTAGCCCACATGAACAACACAAACTCCACCTGATCCACACTCACCCCACCTGAACTACACAAACCCTCCTCCTGACCCCCCCACCCACCCACCCGGAAACACAACCTCCCCACCTAAACAACACAAACCCCACCCACCCCATCTGAACCCCACCCACACAACCTGAACCACACCCAACCCACAAATCCCACACTAACCCCACCTGAACTACACAGACCCCACCTGCACCACACAGACGGCACCTGCACCACACAGACCCCACCAACACCACACAGACGGCACCTGCACCACACAGACGGCACCTGCACCATACAGACCCTCCTGAACACGCCCACCCCACCTATACTTTAAGCTTCTGTTCACTGAGTTCAAGTGGTGCACATACGTTGAGAGTTTGTTCCACCTGTTGAGCAATATAACATCCATATCAAGGGCGCCTGATCCAGAACGTTTGGAGAACAACCGCTGGGCCCCAAGTGAGTGAGTGAGTGAGTGAGTGAGTGAGTTGCCACTTTGAACAGTATTTTAGTTAAATCACGGCGCGGTAACAATAGGTTAGACTAATGCTTAGTCTCTGAATATATATAATTTTGATAGTAACAAACAAGCCCATTTAAATTGAAAAGGACCCCTAGGGAGACCAGAGATCCTGAACCTGAGGAAATCTAGACTTGCTTTATTTAGGGCTTTAGCACTGCAGAGAGGGCTTGGCAGTAGGGAAAATAATGTGGTTCAGGGGTTGTGAGACAGACTAACAATAGGTATTAGAATGTTGGTGAAGTCGAAGGGAATGTGATGCTGACAAGCCAAGACTAACGCTCAGGGCGTATCTGTAGACTCCTGTCATACCTGGGGGACGTTACGCCTCCATAGTAAAGTACGTATGTTCCGATGCAACACGGAATACACATATTCCATTTGTAAGGATATTTATTAACGCTGGTGTATACACTAGCTCAGACCAATGTCGGATACAGAGGTGTTGCGGCGGTTGTGCACGTCCACCTACTTCATACAGCTTACACGTTAACTGTGCCTTAGGTCAAGTCACTTATTGAGTATTATGTGCACACTTCCACCTAAAGTTAAAAATCCCAAGTCCACCTCTGCAGTGCACATTTTGCCAGCTTAATCTACCCATCTCAACCGAGTGAGTATGGTTTTACGCCACTTTTAGAAACATTCCAGCAGCACCATGTATGGGGACACCATGAACTGACGTCACATATTGTGCCGACGTGACTATCCCACCGCCCCTTATCTCATCTGTGTTAATTAGGGCTACAGGTCATACTTTGATATATGAAGCTTACATTGAGGCCGTCACTGACAACTTGATGCTGTACACATCATCTAATTAAACAATAATCGTTATTAAACAATATTCGTTATTAAACAATAAACGATATTAAACAATACTATTACGTCATGGTTTCAATATCACATCAGTTATTTATCTATACATTAGTTTTTCTAATGCAATATTAATGAACGAGACCAACATTTAACTCATGAACAAAAGGTATTACCAAATATTTAGCAAGGATATGGCTGATCCATAGTGCCAGGCCGTAGACATTGTTCTTAGTTCGGGAGAGGATCCCGACAAGAAATGATCCTCAGTAACCCATGCTTGTCGTAAGAGGCGACTAACGGGATCGGGTGGTCAGGCTCGCTGACTTGGTTGACACATGTCATCGTATCCCAATTGCGCAGATCGATGCTCATGCTGTTGATCATTGGATTGTCTGGTCCAGACTCGGTTAAAACTAAACTCACCCACTCAGCAATCAGGGAACAGCACCGTGAGATCGTCTGGTTGGGCTAGTCCAGTATACGTCAGCAGTAAGTAAGGATACTTTGGAAATGATTACAAAGAAAAAGGTGTACAAATGTGTTCGTTTATTAACAAATGATACCGGTTACATGGAAGAGTTTACACCAAATGTCTCTGTTAAGAGAGTGTACGGTAAAGTTTAAGAAGTTATGGTAAAGAGTAAAAGGTCGAATCATAATAATAAAAATAACGACAGCGACGACGACGCTGTTGCTGACGATGAAGATAACGGAGACGGCGACGACGACGACGATGATGTTGTTAGCAATAATTAACACTGATCGATGAGTGGTGTCTGATCGGTGATGATCTGTGACGCTAGTGACCTGACCGGTAAAGAGAGCAACTCCATGACAGTGTCATATTTCTGACTGTCGACGGATGCTCCCTTCATCGTGAGGTCTCGGTAAATCTCGGGTTATTCCGTTAGTCGATCGCGTGGCCCTTGACCTGAATAAGAAAATGGAATAATAAATATTTAGCTTGAAACTAACATCCCGTGATGAAAAATCCAACATTAATTCATCTTCAATCTTTACCTGCGTTAGTGCCAGGAATTTGTGATCGTGTGTTCGAATCCCAGATTTGCCCTAATTCTGGTATAGCAGAACCCTACGCGTACTCGCGTGGTTCTCCAAGTGCTAAACGTTCTATCACTGGCATCATTTTATAGTTCCTCCACAAGCAGCAATATAACGGAAAGATGTTCAAAGGTTTTCATCCACGTCACTCACTATCTTTACGTCATGATGGTGACTTTCAACACAGTGACAAACCTGACATATGTAACAGAATACACACATACCCGTACACCCTTCTCGCCGTAACGACAAACAACGGCGAGAATGCAAGTGAGTGAATGAGTGAGTGAGTTTGGTTTACGCCGAATTTAGCAATATTCTAGCAATATCACCTTGGGGGAAACACCAGAAATGGGCGTCACACATGGTACCCATGTGGGGAATCGAACACGGGTCCTCAGCGTGACTAGAGAACGCTTTAACCACTAGGCTATCCCACCACCCAGAGAATGCAAGTATTGGTCAATAAAAGACTATTGGTGGTACCTAATATAATAATATCAGAAGCAGCCAGTTATATAAGGCATAATCTTTAACCTTTGGACCATTACTTTGTTTTGTATTTATTTCAACAATACACTTCGTTAACCAACTGGGTGGTGCAGCGAATGTATCAATTACTCCTTTATCAGATACTAATATCACAACAAAAGTGAAGCAAATGATTTCTAGCGTTTTGTTATTCACTAATCAGAAGAAACACCTGCACAGTTCTGACATTATCGTGAGGGAGGTCTTAGCGCCATGACGCAGCCGAGAGAAACACCATGGTCGAACACAAACAGTGGGGAGGAAACAGCCCGAGTCCGTGGTGTGGGACACAGCGAACCCGGGTAGACCACTTACAGTCAGGGGTAATAACATGAGAACGTCCTTTGAAGTGTTTGCACTCCGTGAGGGAAAGAGACCGGTCACAGCGGGGTGATATATTAGATACAGCCTACCACTGTTTACAAATGTGCTGACAATGTCAAATTTGATATACAACAGTTAACACACTTGGTCTTTATGACGTGGAAACACAGGCTGCATGCCCTGTCATGCTGCAAACAAGGAATAACGACGGTAGTTGTAACATTAGTAATATCATACAGGTTAAAGATATGAATACGTGTGTGTTGATTCAGCGCGTTAAGAAGAAGTACAAACAACGGTACACTCCCCATCATACAAGCTGCAGGATTAGCCCTGATGAAAATCCGACATTACACACGGTCCCTTACACACCAATACACACTCTCATTTGTGAAACAACTACATGTTTAATCATAGTTTTAGAAACATTAACCCTTCAAACACACAGGAACTAGATCGTTTACGTAAATATATTTCTACAAAATGCTTCTCACAACCACGAATAGGATTAGCAGGAAGTTACCGGTTTCATTCTTCTCAGTAGGAGGATCTTAGTACCACGTTGTAAAACACTCTGTTTCTACTAATAACTTTATGACAATGGACTGGCTGTGTATGAAATGTGGTTACAAGGCCATAAACAGTTATCACTTGATCTGTAACACCCAGTTCAAATTGCCTGATGGTGGAAAACAAACAATGCATGCCAAGGCGCGATAAAATAGGTCGGGTTACACGCGAGGGGCAAGGCAGCGACCATCACCCCATGATAGCTTTCCTCTCCACGTGGTGTTGGTTAGGATCGGGGACAGTCCAACTGTCAGGAACTGAGGGTATTGTAGTAACCAAGACAACTGTAAGAATTGTTCGAGCTGAGAACGTCAGTTAACGTCGATGTCACATTTGAACATATCTTTAACAGAGCATATGGACGCTTTACCGTAAAAAGACTGTGACCTAGATGTAGGACACCATTACTTGAGGTGAATTTGTTTCAAACTATGTGACATGTCTCTGACAACTCTATCAGCTGACCACGTTTAACGCCAGTGACGACTGGCGTGTTTCATATTATTAAATACAGTATTTACCTGCGATGGGCAATACTGGAATAAGCATCACAAAGATATATGTTTATGTCACTCACCTAGGGGAGGACTGGAGTACAGAATATATCACCCAGAGTGAGTATTGGTTTACGCCTCCTTGACAATATTTCACGGCGGACGAAATAGGCGTCCAATGTGGGTACTCGAACTCGACCACTGCGGACATTCGAACGAGCGGACATACGAACCTTAGGGCTAACACCATATATATATATGATACAGAAGTGTAGATAGTAGCCTACCCAAAGACGGCGACTTATATCACGTTTCACCTCGTACGGGGTTATACAGAAATAAACTGTGACTGCTTGCCTAGGAGGTACTCGACACTGCGGTAAATATAAAATATATAATATAAAATATACTGACACAATACGTTACAGACACCTATCGTTCATATAGTGAGATTACGCTGACACGCAACACTGCCAGGCCGTTAAATCAGAGCTTGGGGGTCTGCGTAATAGATTGAAATAAACTTTTAAAAAAACATGCAAATATGTTTGATAATCTACAGAACCTCATTTATCCAGACTTGTCGGTGTCCATTAGAAGAATTTGCACGTGTCGAAAGATGAACGTAGAGAGGACCTATATGGCCCACTGACAGAGTCGAGAATGATATCTCGGCGAAATTGAATTTCACCTTTACTTGCCATTGACATTTATGATTATACCTCCAGTCCTCCGATCGAATGTGCTGAATAAACATAAGTATTTAATAATCATCAAAGTAAACAACTGTGGACGTTACAAGAATCCATACTGAACCCTCCCCCACTGCACAGTCCCCGAGCATACATGACATCACTGAAGGGGCGTCACCCTCACTCCATCACGCGGCCAGATAAACAGCTTTGTCTCCTGCATTGTAAACCCAGGGGGATCGAGTTTCATCCGAGTTTAGTGTGAACTGTGTCCCCGTGTACCGTTAGTCCATGTGTGCACAAATACTTTCTATCTCCGTTTGTATTTAGAATATGAATTTCTCAAGTCAGTAATTGCCTGGCCGTATAACACACACCTACACCTCTATAACGTATGGTTACCATTACATACAGTGTTCAGGAGGCAAGATAGTACTACTCAGATCAATGCACAGAAATACGTGTTCGTAGCCACAGAAACATTATCAAGGACCCTGGTATCTTACGATACAGCTATGTATTCATGTGATCATTGTCAAACAAATATGAAGTATATTGTATATAGCGAAAGAAACTTGAATGTTAATAGACAACTATAGGCAGTCGCATTTAAGTTAAAGTTGGGAAACTTCCAGTAAAACAAGCATATGGAGTTACAACTTTCATGATATAAATATGATGTAGGTTATACTCAGGTTTTCAGAGTATCATTAAATTGACTTCCTTAACGAACTCTCAAAAAACAAAATCTCATTCTCAATGTTAACACCTTACGCCTTCAAAGGTTAAACCTTATCTTTACAATATGCCAATGTACATTCCTCTCTTAACTGTTACATATATCAACATATGGCACGCTCAGAAACCATTCAAGAAACAATACCCCTATACCAGTATATACATCCAGATATACCCCTTATAGTGTATACATACATATACATACATGTGACGTCGATGTCCCCCATCCTCCAGCAATCCTTTCCACTCCTCTCTCTCCCCGGGACATCTCATCAAGCTCGCTATGTATCGCTAGTCTCAACTGGAGGGGTGTCTCGACCCACCCCGTTATATAGTTCCTGGGCATGACCGACCGTCACGTTAGTAATTTGGTCGTGCGCAGGAATACACACAACGTGGCTTTTCGGCTCGATCGTGCAGAGACATGCATTCTCTTCTCACGACACAAAGCCAAGGCGCGTGTTTATAAAACGTCACGGATAATTAAGGCAGGCCGAAATGTTAATAAGTCTATCAGAAAGGCGAAAGGTGAAGCCGTTCTAATTAGACTGTGATACAGTCTGACATCGACTCGGGTCTAGCGACATACGATCTGTTTGACCTGCGACGGCATTGCATAAACAATGGAGGGATACTGTTCTCAAGAAAAGAGGAAAGGGGTTTATCATACATATTTGCGATAATTATCTTGAATTTTTCTCTTAAAATAAGAAAGTATGTTTGGATACATTCCAGAGATTTACTGCCCTATTGTTGTTCCATATAGGCTGCGTTCTTTTGGTGCCAAGTGTGCCGCAGAACCACGTGATACAACCCCTGGGATATCTCCCATTGATTCACATCTCGACTTGTTTATCCCCTCATCAACATTGATAACGATTATGGCGACAAAAGCCCACATGTATATGTTTCCTGACATCACATCTATTTTAGAATATAGTTTTAAAAAATCAGTTTACTATAAACGATTTATTTCGGAGTCTGATTCTCATTCTCCTAAATGGGACCAGTTGATACAGACAGATAACTGTAAGACTAATTGACTGTGAAAGTGTTTTCTATCCGTAACATGATATTTGTTTGGATCTTCAAATGTCGATGCTTTTGTTATAACTATAGAGCTGAGGTCGTACTGAGTATAGGCTGTTAGTGTTGAGAATATGGAACAGTATAGGCTGTTAGTGTTGAGAATATGGAACAGTATAGGCTGTTAGTGTTGAGAATATGGAACAGTTTAGGCTGTTAGTGTTGAGAATATGGAACAGTATAGGCTGTTAGTGTTGAGAATATGGAACAGTATAGGCTGCTAGAGCTGAGTCTAGAATGAGTAAAGGCCGCTAGAGCTGAGGGTGGAATTGTAGTCTAAGGCTTAGTATCTGAATATATATAAGTTTGATAGTAACAAACAAGCCCATTTATATTGAAAATGAGCCCTAGGGAGACCAGAGAACTTCAACCTGAGGAAATCCAGACTTGCTTTATTTAGGGCTTTAGCACTGCAGAGAGGGCTTGGCAGTAGGGAAATTAATGTGGTTCAGGGACTGTGAGACAGACTAGTGGAATTGGTACAGGTGCCTGAGCTGAGGGGGAATGAGTATAGGCTGCTACTACTACTACTACTACTACTACTACTACTACTACTACTACTACTACTACTACTACTACTACTACTACTACTACTACTACTATGCATATCAGTATTCGTTAATATGAGCAATGTACTCACGTACCCTCTCACAACGGTAACGTTATTTTCAGAAACAATTCGTTAAAATTGTTCAGTTGAAATAAATAAAAGCTTCAGACATTAACTTTTGTAATCCGCCTATTTGACTGCAATCATTCTCAGTGGTCGACCTGATGCCAGCTTTACACATAGCATCTGATTCTGAAAATATCTTCATTCATAAACACAACTGTTTTGTTCGAGTTCCGGGCCAGTAGCTGATACTAACTGTGCCCTGATAATGCATACTGCTATCCTCTCCCTGCCATTGGACTAGAGCTAACAAGTAGGGCTGGCCAGAGACCATATATCGGTATATGGTCTCTGGGCTGGCGGAATATTCCAGAGTGATGAGCGTGTTCTCTAATTGCTGCTTGCGATGTTCTCGAACCACCCAGAAACCGATTTAGCCGTTGAAAACAGCTCATAAAATTACAAATCACTTCTAGACGTGATCGAGAAACTGCAGCCGACATTACGCCGTCTCCATGGCATGCAGCGTGGCGGGAGATGTGTGCGTATCAATATGTGCGTGCTGATGGCCATGTATTGTTTGACACGCATGACGGTCCAGGGATCATCGTTATGTATGGTGACAGTAACTTCAGATTCCAGACACCGTCAAGTTCTGCGAGTGGCTCAAGTGAGCGGGTTTGTCCCTGACTGGACAAGTCTGGTTTCCCTGCATGGTAGACTGCAACTAGTATCTGAAATGAACATATTTTACAGAAAAGAAAGCTCAAAGTGAAAAAAATAAAATATGTCGAAATGTAGATTTCTAGACTTGCCTGGGATTTCTTTCATATATTTACTTCAGGGTCTGTATAACAGACTAGCTGCATGGGAACTGATGAACGGAACCTCAAAGGGTCGACTCACTCACACATGTGAAAAGGTGTAAAAAAGATGGTGTAGGGTGAGAGAATATTGTATAATAGTTGATGTATGGGAAGAGAATAGTGTACAATAGTTGATGCAGGGGAAGAGAATAGTGTATAATAGTTGATGTAAGGGAAGAGAATAGTGTATAATAGTTCATGCAGGGGAAGAGAATAGTGTATAATAGTTGTTGTAGGGGAGAGAATAGTGTATAATAGTTGATGTAGGGGAAGAGAATAGTGTATAATAGTTGATGTAGGGAAGAGAATAGTGTATAATAGTTGTTGTAGGGGAGAGAATAGTGTATAATAGTTGATGTAAGGGAAGAGAATAGTGTATAATAGTTGATGCAGGGGAAGAGAATAGTGTATAATAGTTGTTGTAGGGGAGAGAATAGTGTATAATAGTTGATGTAGGGGAAGAGAATAGTGTATAATAGTTGATGCAGGGGAAGAGAATAGTGTAATAAATGTAGGGGAAGAGAATAGTGTATAATAGTTGGCAAGGAAGAAGAGAATAGTGTATAATAGTTGTTGTAGGGAAGAGAATAGTGTATAATAGTTGATGTAGGGGAAGAGAATAGTGTATAATAGTTGTTGTAGAGAATAGTGTATAATAGTTGATGTAAGGGAAGAGAATAGTGTATAATAGTTGGGGAAGAGAATGTAGTTGAGGGAAGAGAATAGTGTATAATAGTTGATGTAGGGGAAGAGAATAGTGTATAATAGTTCATGCAGGGGAAGAGAATAGTGTATAATAGTTGATGTAAGGGAAGAGAATAGTGTATAATATGTAGTTGAATGTGTATAATAGTTGATGTATAGAAGAGAATAGTGTATAGTTGATGTAAGGGAAAGAGAATAGTGTATAATAGTTGATGTAAGGGAAAGAGAATAGTGTGTATAATTGTTCATGCAGGGGAGAGAATAGTGCATAATAGTTGATGTAGGGGAAGAGAATAGTGTATAATAGTTCATGCAGGGAGAATAGATAGTGTATAATAGTTGATGCAGGGGAAGAGAATAGTGCATAGTGATATAAGGGGAGTTGATGCATAATAAGTTCATGTAAAGAGAATAGTGCATAATAGTTGATGTAATAGGGAAGGAGAATAGTGTATAATAGTTGATGTAAGGGAAGAGAATAGTGTATAATAGTTGATGTATGGGAAGAGAATAGTGTATAATAGTTGAGAATAGTGTACAATAGCTGATGCAGGGAAGAAATAGTGTATAATAGTTGAGGGAAGAGAATAGTGTATACTAGTTGTTGTAAAGAGAGAATAGTGTATAATAGTTGATGTAGGGGAAGAGAATAGTGTATAATAGTTGTTGTAGGGAGAGAATAGTGTATAATAGTTGTAGGGGGAGAGAATAGTGTATAATAGTTGATGTAAGGGGAAGAGAATAGTGTATAATAGTTCATGCAGGGAGAATAGTGTATAAGTGTTGATGTATAGAGTAATGAAGAGAATAGTGTATAATAGTTGATGCATGGGAAGAGAAGAATAGTGTATAATAGTTGATTGTACAGGGGAAGAGAATAAGTAGTGAGATAATAGTTGATGTATGGGAAGAGAATGGTGTATAATAGTTGATGGGGGGAAGAGAATAGTGTATAATAGTTGATGTAAGAGAATAGGTATATAGTTGTTGTAGAGAAATAGTGTATAATAGTTGATGTAGGGGAAGAGAATAGTGTATAATAGTTGATGTAGGGGAAGAGAATAGTGTATAATAGTTGATGTAAGGGAAGAGAATAGTGTATAATAGTTGATGTAGGGGAAGAGAATAGTGTATAATAGTTCATTCAGGGGAAGAGAATAGTGTATAATAGTTGTATGTGGAGAGAAAAGTGTATAATAGTTGATGTAAGGGAAGAGAATAGTGTATAATAGTTCATGCAGGGGAAGCGAATAGTGCATAATAGTTCATACAGGGGAAGAGAATAGTGCATAATAGTTCATGCAGGGGAAGAGAATAGTGTTTAATAGTTCATGCAGGGGAAGAGAATAGTGTATAATAGTTGTTGTATGGGAAGAGAATAGTGTACAGTAGTTAATGTATGGTAAGAGAATAGTGTATAATAGTTGATGTATGGGAAGAGAATAGTGTATAATAGTTGATGTAAGGGAAGAGAATAGTGTATAATAGTTGTTGTAGGGGAAGAGAATAGTGTATAATAGTTCATGCAGGGGAAGAGAATAGTGTATAATAGTTGATGTAAGGGAAGAGAATAGTGTACAATAGTTGTTGTATGGGAAGAGAATAGTGTATAATAGTTGATGTAAGGGAAGAGAATAGTGTATAATAGTTGATGTAAGGGAAGAGAATACTGTATAATAGTTGATGTAAGGGAAGAGAATAGTGTACAATAGTTGTTGTAAGGGAAGAGAATACTGTATAATAGTTGATGTATGGGAAGAGAATAGTGTACAATAGTTGATGTATGGGAAGAGAATGGTGTATAATAGTTGTTGTAGGGGGAGAGAATAGTGTATAATAGTTGTTGTAGGTGGAGAATAGTGTATAATTGATGTAAGGGAAGGGAATAGTGCATAATAGTTCATTCAGGGGAAGAGAATAGTGTATAATAGTTGTAGGGGGAGAGAAAAGTGTATAATAGTTGATGTAAGGGAAGAGAATAGTGTATAATAGTTCATGCAGGGGAAGCGAATAGTGCATAATAGTTCATACAGGGGAAGAGAATAGTGCATAATAGTTCATGCAGGGGAAGAGAATAGTGTTTAATAGTTGATGCAGGGCAAGAGAATAGTGTACAATAGTTGATGTATG